CACCGTTTTCCCTACATCTGCCCCCTTGTCGCTCTTTCCTTAAGTGACTGCTGGTCCCTCGTGTCGGGTTCTGAAGAGCATTTAGACAAGATCTTGGCCTTGGAGCGGCACCGGGGAGTGGACCCAGCCCATGGAGAAGCTGCCTGAGCATATGTCTCCGGAGTCCCTGTGTCCATCCCCCGAGCAGGAGCCTGGAAAGAGCAAGGGTGAGGAGCTGACCTAGCTGACTTTCTTTGTCTAAACTTTGTCCTTCCCACCAAGCCCTCAGATCAGATGGACACGATTAACCGTACACTTAGAATTGTCCTGGTGCCAGACGTTGATTCTTTTTTGTTTTTAATTCAAAGCTCTATTCCACGTAAATAAAGCCAATAACTGTTTCCTCTCTAACTGTGTGGAACAGACCTGCAGACCTGCAGCAGCACTGTCCCTAGCACCGTCTTAAGGATCTGTCATTCCAACACCTGTTAACTTTTATTTATTTTTTTTAAGTGGCGGTGCTGGGGATTGAATCCAGGACCTAGTGCATGCTAAGCACACACTCTACCACTGAGCTATATACTCTCCTCCCACTGGTAGTTCTTTTGGTCTTTAGAGAAGCTCGGTAAATGTGTGAATAAATAAATGAATGAACCCAGCCACGTGTGTCCCATACCCCAAGTACCAGGAAAAGAGTGCCTCCCAAGTTGTGTTTCATCATTAGGGAAGATATGTTTTCCACCCAAGGTGTAAACTTCAAGAGGGTGGCTTGCCTGTGGAGTACAGTAGACAGGCCAGCCACCTGCTGATGGAAAATGAAGTTAAACTGTAAATACCAGCATTTTAATTTCAATCTGCTGTCCCAAGATTATCTGGTATGTGCCTGGCCTTTAAAAAAAAATGGACTTGGATTATTTAATTGGAAGACAAAGGCATATATAACCCTCATCGTAGGTTTTGAGATGGCTTACGCTTGGGGGTTTTCTTTTACACATTTAGCCTTCTAATGATACTTTCAGCTGATTTTTAACTCAAGTATTTATTGAGTTGTTACTAGAAGGTGCTGAGACTAAGATGAAAGAAAACCTAATCTCTGCCCACCTACCAGCCTGGAGCTGAGTTGGAATAGTTTTACCTGTGAGAGGCTACAGGACAGTAAACAGTGTAGAAGTTAAGAAGAAGAGGTCCCTATAAACTGGGTATTGGCCCAGGAAGCCTTAGAAAGTCAACAGTTTGGTCTTGAAAGAATTTAGAGTAAGAGAAAAATCAGATTTTAGGTGAGAGGGGTAGGCCTCACCACAGGCTTCTTGCTGTGAGTCTAAGAGACCAAGTGCCTTATTTGCCTTCCTGAAATACTCACTTATTTATATTTGTCCATACTGCATAGCCTGGCATTCAGGGTTCTCCGCAGTGTGGTCTCAACCCAACTTTGAAGTCTTCATCTCAGTGTTTCCCCAGACAGACCAGCAAGACTGGTGTGTCTGCACATGGTGATGCTGAAGACACTTTGCACCATCCACCGTTGTGCCTTTGGGCCCTTTTCCTGCGCTGCCATCCTCTCCATTCTCTGTACCTAAACCCGACACATCCAAGCCCCCCATGCTTGAAACTTCGGCACAGGGCAGCCTCCTCCATGAAGCTTCCGAATCAGACTGGGTGCGTTGGAGGAAGGAAACAAACAGAGACATTCACGTGGAAACCTGCAGGACTTGGTAGTGGAGCAGTTGTGGGAAGTTGGGTGCACTTGCCTCTGTTCCCTTTGCTGTCACACCTCTTAAAAAAAAAATCTTCACCAGTCACTATTATCTTTGTGACTCCCCTTCACTTCTCAGTGCGGAGCACTGCTTTTGCTCCAAGGAAACAGGTTATATCCGGATTGCCAGTGGCTTAACTGAAGGGGGATCCACTGGACACATTTTTTTTCACCCCTAATTTGTTTGACCCCGTGATATTTTTGTTGATGTGATCACTATTCTTTGTAACTCTTGTTCTTTGGTTGTGGAAGCACCGTTTTATCCTGGTCCTGCCTCTTGCCTCCTCAGGGCCTTTCTCACCCCTGTTGTTCCACCTGTTTCCTAAACATCGATTTTCTCCAAGACTGTTCTTGGCCCTCTTCTCTTTTTCCTCCTGTGGGTGATGTTGTCCCCTTCTTATGACTTTAGTGTCCACTGTACACCGCTCTTGCTTCCCACTGAGCTGGATGTTCCTAGGCGTCCTTCCGGGCCAGTCTGTTCTGCCACCCCTGCCTCCCTCCCTTCCAGTGACTACCTTGGCTAATTTTAGTAAGTGCTTTTCCCAAGCCAGGAAACTGGGCGTCATCCCCTACATTCTCCTCTCTTCTATATTCACTTGGCTACCAAATCCTGTCAGTTTTCCTTCAAAAAGGTCCGAGTCTGTTGCCTGTCACCTCCACTTCCTCGTTGAGGACGTTGTCTTTCTCTTGGGTTATTGACGTGCTATTGGTGACTCCCCCACTCGTGGCTGCCCTCCATACTGCTGCCAGAGAGAACTTCCCCAGGAGCAAATTGATGATTTGATTCTCTGCCTATAGAATAAAGTTCAGAATCCTGAGTACGGCATATCTCTCTTCATTATCTGTGTGTTTTTAAAAAAAAAATTGGTTAGAGTGAATTATTATTTTTTTGTCTCTTCATTATCTGGCTTTATTTTTCTGCCACACATTTAGAGTAGATGTTTTGGTCACATTGAATTTTTTTAAATCACTACTCCTTAAACTTAGTATTCCCTTTTATGTTTCTGAGCCTTAATATATGCTATTATTTCTGCCTGGAATTCTCTTTACCTTGTTGATCCTGTTCATTGTAGCTCAGGACGCAGCTCAGTTTCATTCTTGGAGGATGCCAACCCCAAGTCACCCAGGCAGGGGCTGTCGTTCCTAATTGTGCTTTGAAGCACCATTATCATCTCTCTGCCAGTATCTTATGCGTGTGAAGTGGCTCATATGGTTGTTGAGTGATTACATCAGAAGGGAAGTATTTAGTTTCCTAGGACTGCTGGAACAAACTGCAACTGCATGGCTTAAACAACAGCACTGTTTTCTCTCACAACTCTGGAAGCTAGAGTCCAAGAGGCCAGGCTCGCACTGAAGGCTCTAGGGGAAAATCCTTCTCTGACTCTTTCTAGCTCCTGGTGTCTCCCGGCCATCCCTGGTGCTCCTTGACTTGTGGCTGCATCTCTCCAGTCTCTGCCTCCACTGTCGCAGGGCCTTTGTTCCCGTGTTTCTGTGTCTGAGTCCTCCTCTCCTTTCTCTTATAAAGATACCAGTCATTGGGTTTAGGGCTCACCCTAATCCATTATGGCCTCATCTTCACTAATTACCTCTGCAAAGACCCTATTTCCAAATTAGGTCACATTCTGAAGTGCGCATGAATTTGGGGGAGGTGGGGCACCGTCAGACCCAGTACAGGAAGCATTGCTCATTTCTTCTGCTGTTAGAAGTCAGTGTGCTTGGGGTCACACAGCTTTGTAGATAAACCACTTGAAGAACTGTGTAGATTTCCCCCTCCCTTTAAGTGAGAAGCAAATCAGTCTAGAAACATTTTTTTTAAACCTTCACCCACAGGAACACATTTGACGTGCCTACTCTTTCAGAGGCAGCTGCTCTCTTCTTGGGCTTGCCTCGCTCTGTCTCAGATCGGCCACTGTCTGTCAAGCATTCCTGGGGGTCCTGCCACCTGCCAGAGTTTGGATCCAAGTTTTTGATATTTCTTCTACAAATGGCTCAAACCCATGAGGAGATAATACCTTTCTGAATTCTATTTAAGTCTCAGTCCTGAAGAGGTTTTATAAATGGTCCTTTTGGGACCCTCTGTGATTTATAGATTCTTCCCTTGATGGAGTAGAACTTCCTTTTAATGGATTGCTAGGAAATAATCAAGAGCTTTTAAAAGCCTGTAATGTGTGCAGAGTTCTTTGTGTAATGCTGGGATTGGAGGAAAAGGAAGATATCTTTTACTCTAGAGATGCTTTCAGTATAAATACTGAAGGGAACACACACACACACAACTAAACATTTCTAAGGAGAGGTCCGAAGACAATATGGTTAGACTCCATGAGGGAGGCAGGAACCGTACGCTTTAGAGATTCAAAGGAAAGAGGTCACTTCCAGCTGGGGGTTGGGGCAGGGTTAGATTTCAGGAAGGAGGCTGCCTGTGACCTGGGTCTTGAAGGGTGGATAGGAGTTTGAGAGGTGAAGTTGGAGGGAAGGCTCTTGTGGGTGGAGAGAGGAGGCTCAGCGGAGAAGCAGGTGTGTGGGGATGTAAACGTTCAGATTAACTGGAGTGCAGAGAAGATGTCACAGAGGATGAGACTGTGAAACAGGCAGAATGGAGTAAGATTGTGGAAAATGAAGGCCAGGCCAAAGAGTTGAGATTTTGTTTGGCAGAAGTTGAAGTATGTTAGCTTTGCTTAACAGGAGCATAGCCAGTGAATGTTGCAAATCAAGAGAATCTGATTTGTTTAGTGCGAGAAGTGATTAGGACCTGACTTTAAGGTATGAGCAGTGGTAATAGGGAGGCGGGGACAAAATCAAGAAGTTGTGCTGGAGGTAGAGGCAGTAGCACTTGTTTACTGCACAGACGTGGGGGTCCAGTCACTGATCATTGTCACCACACCCCAACCCCACTTTTCGTTTTGAAGAATGTTAAAGCTACAGATGAGCTGCAAGAATACGCTACCAAATACTCACACACCAGTGTCTGTGCAGGGTGGGGACGTGTTGCTTTCGGGAGACTGGTGTGAGAGCCGCCACATGGAGATCTCCCTAGATTCTTGAAAGTGCTGCAGCTGGTTTACAGATGTCCCCTGTCTTGGTCAGTGGGACACTGTCTGTGCAGCTGTTCAACCCAGAGATAAACCTTCGTCTCCCTCGTATTCATGTCCATCGGTCAGTAATCCCGTCAGCGTGACCGTCAGCATTTTCTCCAGAGTCTGAGCACATCTTATTACCTTCTCTGCCGCCGCCTGGGTTTAGGTCGCCGTCATCTCTCACCTGGATTATTACAGCAGCCTGGCTGGTTGTCCTCCGTCCAACGCCTCCCCGCGGTCTACACAAGACAGCAGCCAGCGCGATCCTGCTAAAATGTCAGATCTTGTCTTCCTCTGGTCGGAAACCTCCAGTGGCTTCCTGTGCCACTCAGTGAAAGCAAACCTCTTACAGACCTGTACCTACAGCCCATAAAAGGGTCCTCTGATCCCCTTTTTTATGTCTCTGACCTCATTTCGTACTACTCTCCCTGTTGCTTATTCCACTCCAGTCACACTTGCCTCCTTGAACACCCAGGGCCTTTGCACTTGCTGTGTCTTCTGTGGGTAAAGCTATTTCCCTGGCAGCCTTCTCTCCTTCAAGTCTTTGCTTAAATGCCATTTTCTTAGTCCTTCTTTGACTGTGATGTTTAAAGTTGCAACGTTTTGGCGTACTCCCCTGTCCCCTGCACCCTAATCCTTGTTCCTTGGTTTTTCCCCTCAATAGCACTTTTATGACCTTTCAGCAGTATGTAATTTACATAGTTTATTATCTATCTCCCTTACTAAAATGAAAAATCTTAGAGGCTTTTTTGTCTGTTTCAGCCACTGATGTAGCTCACTGTCTGGAACTGTACCTGGAATGTTTCTGGTGCTCAGTAAAACGCGCCGAGTGAGTGTCACATGACTTGTGAAGATGAGAAGTATTTCTGGATTTGTAGGAGAAGGGTCACCTTCAGCTTCATGGAGAAGGTGATACTGAACAGGGCCTGAGAGCAACGAGGTTGACATTCTTGACTTTGATGGGCAGGCGGTCAAATCTCGGGCAGTGGGTCAAATAAAGGGCACATCCTTTAGAATGTAAGCCTTCACATGTTGTGGGAGAGAATGAATAGAGTGGTTCAACAGATGGTAAAGAACTTTGTGTAAGGAGATCAGAATGGGGCTGGAAGACAGGTGGGGACCAGATCAGGGACATATCAAAGAAACCTTAGTTCCTGCTCCCACGAGATTGCAGTCTGACAGATAAGGTGACACATGTGCAAGGGGATGTGAAAACATTAAGCCAGTCATCCATTCACACCTGTCAGAATGGCTGTCATCAAAAAGACAAGAAATAACAAGTGTTGGTGAGGACGTGGAGAAAAGGGAACCCCCGTGCACTGTTGGTGGGAATGTAAATTGGTGCAGCCACTATGGAAAATGGTAGGGGGGTTCCTCAAAAAAATTAAAAATAGAACTGCCATAGGATCCAGCAATTCCACTTCTGGGTGTTTATCCAAAGGAAACGAAATCATTATCTCAAAAAGATATCTGCGCCCACATGTTCACTGCAGCATTATTTACAGTAGCCAGGACATGGAAGCAACTTAAGTGTCCATCGACAGATGAATGGATGAGAATGTGCTATAGATGTGCACAGTGGAATATTATCCAGCCATAAAAAGATGAAATTCCTGCCATTGCAACAAGGATGGACTTTGAGTGCATTATGCTAAGTGAAATAATTCAGAGAAGGAGAGATACTATATGACCTCACTTGTATGTGGAACCTGAAAAGTCCAAACTCACAGATATAGAGAAGAGATTAGTGGTTGCCAGAGGTGGGGGGTGAGGAGCGGGAGAATTGGAAGAAGGGGTTCCAAACTTTTGGTTATAAGATAAACAAGTCCTGGGGATGTAATGTACAACTTGGTGACTATAGTTAACAGTACTATATTGTATATTTCAAAGTTGCTTAGAGTCGATCTTAAAAGTTCTCATCACAGGAAAAAAAGTGAAAAAAACAAAACCAAAACAGTATCTAGATTGAGTGTACAGAAGATGAGGGCGTATCTGGAGATGGAGAACAAGTGTAAATATGTTTCTGTGATAAGATATCACAGGTAATTATTAAATTCCTTAAAGGCAATTTCCATTCCCCAATAAAATCAGGGCTGCCTATGTTTGAGGCTTTTACTGCTGATGGAAATGCTGCATTGGATATTTCTCGGCACCCTCTTCCAGAAAGATCCCTGTAAGCAGAGGGCCTGCTTTCGCTAATATCACTGCACTTTAGTAAGCTATGCTTAATAAATAAAACTTAAGAGGAGAAACGTATTAAAGTAAACAGGAGATGTTTTTCTATCATCTCCTTTCAATGCAGCCAGGGTGCAGAATTGGCTTTTGTGTGTTCTCTTAGAGTTGAAAAGATTTGGAAGTATTTCTTGCTACCCTATGCTTCATTTTGTAAACAACCTTTCCTCCTCTTCTTCCCCTCCCTTCCTTTATCAAATCCCCCCATTTTGCAAAAAGTTTCCAAAAGGTGCATAAAAAGTCCGAGTATCTCCACGTTTGTAAGTGAGCATCTGCATGTAGAGAGAGATTCTCAACAGGAGAGAGGAAGGCGCTGGGATCTGGTTATGGGAAGGGAGCCTTTCCTGTTACCACAGTGACAATCCATGTGGCCAGGGTACCATGTGGACAGAGCCTCTGCGGTGAGGTTCCCCTCTTATTTATCCGCTTAGTCCCTGTGCCTCCCTACACGTAGCCCCCAGCATCAGCCTTCCTGTGTTCTGAGCTAACCCCGCATCCCTCAAACTCTGCTTTCCTGTTCTGCTAATTCCAGTGTATCTGTCCAGTAAGGTATTCGTGTGTAAACCCCAGCTTCGGTTTCCCCTCCACATCTCCAGCTCTACTCCACTTGTACCCATCTTTTCCCTACGTTGCAGGGCCATTTTTCATGCCTCTTGCAACCAAATAGCCTGGAATACTTTGACCATCCCATCTCCCACCAGGAGTTTTTATTGTTACGTATACCTTTTTTGTATTTTCTATCAGATGGTGAGACCTGGACTGAGGATCAATTAATTATAAAGCAGAAAACTCTTGAAGTAGGGACACAACTACATGAAGGAGATGAATGTGAACAAAACAAACGTGAGGGACCCTTTGAGTGTGGACGAAACTTCTGTAATACCGCACACTTTATCCACCAGCCACAAGTTCTTATTGAAGAGAAACCCCAAATGTGTAACATGTGTGGGAAATTATTCAGGCAGAGCTCATACCTTATTCAGCGTGAAAAAATCCACACGCAAGAGAAACCTTACGAGTGTCGTGAATGTGGAAAAGCCTTTGGTCATAGTTCGAATCTTATTCAGCATCAAAGAATACACACTGAAGAGAAACCCTATGAATGCAGTGAGTGTGGGAAGACCTTCCGGCACAGCTCACACTTAATCCAGCATCAGATAATCCATACGGGGGAGATGCCTTATGTGTGTAATGAATGTGGAAAAGTGTTCAGCCGGAGCTCAAGTCTTATTCGACACCAGAGAATCCACACTAGGGAGAAACCCTATGAATGTGCCGAATGTGGGAAGGCCTTCAGCCAGAGCTCAAATCTGATAGAGCATCAGCGAGTTCACACCAAAGAGAGACCATATGAGTGCAGTGACTGTGGGAAAACTTACAGTCGTAACTCACACCTCATCGAACATCAGAGAGTCCATACAGGGGAGATGCCTTATGATTGCAATGAGTGTGGGAAATCTTTTAGTAGGAGTTCACTCCTTATCAAACATCACAGAATTCACACTGGAGAGAGACCCTATGAATGTAGTGACTGTGGGAAGGCCTTTAGTCAGAACTCCCACCTCACTCAGCATCAGAAGACTCACTGTGGAGTAAACCTTCTGAATGTAAAGAATGTGGGAAAACCTTCAAGAATAGTCCATACCTTACCGATCTGGAAATCCATACAAGAGAGAAGCTGTGAGTGAATCCTTTGCTGGGAATTCAGCTTTTATTGAATGTCAGAGAACGTGCACTGGGAAGAAAACTTGGCTGTAGTAAGTGTGGATAGCCTTCAGTCCTAGTTCAGGTCTTACTAAGACCTGAAAACTGACAGTGGCCAAGTCTTTTGGACGTGTTCAATGCAGGAAGACCTTTAGACAGAGTTCCTGCCTTACTCAGCATCAGCAGGTTCACTTTGGAGGAATGATGGACACAAGGAGAGCCTTGCCATGTGTCGGGGGGACATGAAAGGGGCACGGTGTGACACTCTGGGGGGGTGACTAAAGGAGAGCCTTTAGCTAGCTCTGCTTTTTATTTGATTTTGAGGATCTACATCAGAGGGAGATTCCCTGGTGTGTCTGTCAGATCTCCATAGTCATCTTTTGAAAATGGAACGAGTTAGGACCATTCCAGAGAAGAAGGAATCAGGGATTCTGGATTCAGGCCCAGAGATCAGGAAAGCGGTGGGCTGACCTTTGAACCCAATAGCTCTCCTGTGTCATCTGACCTGTTGTAACTATACTTGGAAATGGCTCTGGGAGTCTTCTTGGACCCGTGTTTTACACCTCAGTGTCCTGTAGGCTACTGGATCTCTTTTTGTCTTGTGTGACATGAATGCTTTTAATAAATGGGCACCTTTTCCAAGCCAGTTAATTTCTCAGTATACCACGTCGTGGGCTTTGTTGTGTGTCGGCTTTAGTGGGCGGAGCTGCTTTTGTCAGACTTCCCCGTCCTGTCTTTTTCCCTTTGTGTTGGTGTGAACCACGGGGAGATGCTTGGGAGCGGCAGTTTTTCCGCAGCCCACACCTGTTGTTGCTGATGTGCTGACTCTCCTCCCTGGAGCGCGGCGGCAGCTGCGCCTGAGACCGGTCTGCCTGCCCCAGCTTCCATTCTGCCTTCACTGGGCCGGAGGTATGTGTGTGTGGGTGTGTGTGTGTGTCTCCGCGCCTGGGCTGTGCGTCTGTGTGTGTGTGTGTGTGTGTTTCTCCTTACGGCTTTACTTCTCTAACTGAATCCTAGTCGTACACCTGCTTGCTAACTTACCAAAAATACCTATTTATTTCAAGTTTGGGTGGAGAAAAGTGGTAAATGTCTGGCTGTTTCTTAAAAAGAACCTCAATAATAATAAGTCTCAGGATTTCCTATCAGGAGCATCTACTGTTCAGACTCCTTTGTAAGAAAAATTCCATCACAGCCCGAGGCAGAGCTTCCCTACTGTGTACTTGTCGAGGGAAAAGTTTGCAAAGCAGTTGAAGAGTATGATATGTAATTGACTGATAAAAATTAAAAAAAAATCAAAACTTCTGAGCACCCGTGTATCATGAGCATTTTACTTACTAAAGGAAATTCCAGAAGAACTACCAGGCGTACATAGTTAGATTTATTCTAGGTCTAAGAGAAATACCTAGTTTGTTGTGAATGTTTATTTTTTGATTGCAAAAAATCAGATTAATGGTTCCTCCCATTGGTCTGGATTAATGATGATCTAAACTATCAGTGAAAACTGTACTTGTGTTGGAGACGTGACATTGAAAGCTGCCTTTCTTTTGTAGCCTTGTCCGTGCCTGGTCTGGTGCTGTACACACAGGAGGTGTTCAGTGGCTGCGGAATGAATCTGTTTTACTGGAAACCAAAGTCTTGTTTGTCTCAGCTCTCCTCTCTACACTCCACTGCCTTCCCCCACCATTCCTACAGGTGATCATCAGCTCTCAGTAAGGGTCACCCTGCCGTCTGGATGCCCTGAGTGTGCGCTCTGTGAGGTTGGGTCTGAGCTCTGAGCCGCCGTTGAGCCCACTTACTCCACTTGGCACGCGACCCTCCTCAAGTCCCTCCCACCCCCTTGTACCCGGAAAGGGCCCTTTCTGCGGCGTCTGAGAAGCCTCAGGGGTGAGGCAGGGCTTGATGAGTTGGGATTGAAGGCAGGGTAGGATTCTGGTTAGCAGAGGAAATAACAGAGAAGGACGCCCCAGGACAAGGTGAATGTGTGTGGGGTCACAGGCCAGGGCTCGAGGGCGGAGGTGTCCACAGAGGTCAGGAAAGGGGAGGAAAGTTTGCCTAGCAGTATCAGAAGCACTAAAGCAGGACTCTGGTTCTTTGGCACAAATATCACTAATGGATATGTTAGTTCATCCAGCTGTTGGAGCTCAGGTGAGCACAAGGCGACCAGCTCATCCCAGTTTGCCAGGACCTTCTCGGTCTTGGCCTTGAAAGTTTCTGTAAAATGTTCAGTCCTCCACAAACCGGCGTGGCTGATCACCTGAACCTGTCATGACCTCGTCCCCCCACACGTCTTGGCTCCTAGATACAGCAAGAGACAGTAGAGCAGAAATTCTCAACCTGGGTCACATGCTGGAGTCACCCAAGTTTTCCAAGTACCGAGGCCTTGGCCCCAGTCCTGAGACTGTGTGTGGTGTGGGGCATGGCCTGGGTATTGGGAGTTCATAGGTTCCCAGGTAATTCTAATGTGCTGCCGAGGCTGAGAATCTTCACAGTAGAGGATATCAGTGCCAAGAGGACACAAAGAGGCCACATAGGATCTGATGGCTTTGTCACTGAGGGCTAGTGAGAGGGCTGGGCTGGGGGTACAGAGAGCCTCCAGGGCCCATGTGAAAGGAAAGGGGGTCCCAGGCTGGGTGCAAGGAGCGATGGGAGGGGACCATTGCACTGGGGGTGGAGCCAGCTATTGGGTGGGTTCTCTGAGGGCAGTCAGCTGGGAGCAAGGGCCTGCTCGTTGCCAGATTCTGGTTCTGTTACGGGCAGTAAAACTACGATGTGGGGGACTTGGGTTTTCCCTTTGGAGCTTTGGACCAAGGAAGCATAGAGCCTGGGGGAGTCAGAATTCTGAAGGCCCCAGCCCCAGCTTGTGGGCACTCCACCCCTTCTTCCAGCAGACAGTTCCTTCTTCCCTTGCCTGTCCCTTTACCCTAAATCTAGGAAAACATGAAAACGCTTCTGGAGGAGGCTATAACCTAAACTTCTGCACACCTTCTAAAATTTTCTGTCCTGGGAGGGGCTGGCCTGGCAGTCCCCAGCCATGCCTTGAACACAGTTTTGGGTGCCCTGGGTGAGAGGCATTTCCTGTGCTTTAGTTGAAGAGGTCAGAGTGTTTGGGCAAAGGGGAAATGGGAAGAGGAACTTTGGCAGTGGCACCCAGATGTGACTGCTTTAATCCCGCTGAAGGCCCCTCGTGGCCCTCAGGATGAAATCACAAGACCCTTCACATCCCAGCTCTGCCCACTGACTTCTCCAGCCCTCTTGTGGCCACTCCTCCCAGTCACTTTGAAATTCACTGGATCCTAGAACACAGAATTTTCCAAACATAGGTCAAGAGCCACGGGGGGGGGACGTGGGGGTCATAAAGTTAATTTGTTGTAAAGAGTGGCAACCAGCAAAGGGTAAAAGAAAAAAGTAGGCAGAGTTAGAATGGCGTGGAAAACACCCATTACAAAGGTAAGTGAGACTTCTGTTCCGTCTGTGCGTAAGGGCTCATGTGCGCAAAGCACAGCGAGTGGTGGCTCTCGCTGTAGAGCAGGTGAGAGTCTTTGCGCAGTGCAGTCCCCTCCTGGGAGTTACATTCTGTCTAGACGGGCCTCCTTAGCAGGACTTCGCTGGGACTGAATTGTTCTTGCTCTGCAATTCCCATAGCATGCTCTACTTCCTTTGTGTACCAATCACACTTTAAAAAAATGACTAATTCAGTCGCCTGTCTTCTGTGCTGATTGCAGGAGTGATGAAGACAGCGAGCATCTTATCTGTCATTAGAGGAAGCGCTCGTGCTGAGCAACTTAGCCATAGACCCGGGTTCAGGCTCCGGCTGTGTGTTTTCTTAGGCACGTTCTCTTTTTATTTTTTTCTGATTTTATCTGAAAGATTATATGCAGAGAAGTTGAAAGAATAGTGTAATGAACACCCTGTATATCCTTCATTTAGATGAAGAATTATGAACATTTTTCCATATTTGCTTTCTACATATCTTATGTTTTTTTTCTGAACCATTTAAGTAAGTTCAGATTATCTTCACCCTAAATACTATGGCATGCTTCTCTGAAGAGTAAGGTCATTCTCCTGCACAATTGCCACACTGTTAACACACTTAAGAAGAAGAATTTAATTCCATACTACCTTCTAAAATGCAGTCTCTATTTAGATTTCCCCCCAGTTGCCCCAAGAATGTGTTTTATAGCTATATTATTTCAAATCGGAGGGAAAAAAAATCAAGGGTCACATTACATTTGGCTTTCTGCCTCTTTAGTTTCTTTTTATCTAGAATTTTAATCTAGAATAGTTCCACTTTTTTTTTAATGACGGTGACTTTTGGAGATGTCAAGGACAGTTATTATAATTTTCCATAAAATTGATTCCTTTGTCTTCTTGCGGTGGTATTTAACTTCCTTCTCAGCCCTCTGTGTTTTCTCTAAACTGGAACAAGGTTTAGAGGTTCGATTACATAAATTTTTGACAAGAATTCCTCACGGGTGATGTCTCCTTCATACTGTTGTCACTTCAAGAGGCACATGCTGTCAGATCATTCCACCCCAGGTAGTGGCTGCCAGGTCCCCTGTGTAAAGCTATGTTTTCCTTTTGCAGTTAGTAATTTGTGAGGATGGTGAACTCCAGTACCATGCGAAGCATCTGTTTTTCTACAGCCTAATGTTTTTAGGAATCATCCACCATCTTTTAGCAGCTATCCATGTGATAGTTTGGGCATGTTCTTAACCTGAGACTCAGTTTTTTCATTTGCAATCTGGGTAAAATAATGCCTGTGATTTGGATTTGCTGTGTAATGACATTTCAAAGTATTACATAGAGTGTGTATGAAGATGCTGTCATGGGTCTGCCATAATTTCTCCTTCTTCTGAGAACACCAACCCCCTTCCTTTTAGAAAGTTCTTACACTGCTCCAGATGATGGCTCAAATCGCTGACTTCTGAGATGCTCCCACCTGCCTGGCAACTGGACTCATCTTCTTTGGCCAGAGTGGAATGAGCTTGTGACCAGAACTGAGCCAATCAGAATGCTTCCCTGGGAAATTTCCAACCAAATAGGGGTGGGAATGTGAGGATGTGAGACTGGAAGTTGACTATTTCCCCTGCCACGCAGACAGTGAAAGCCTGTGGGGTGCAGGGGATCAAAGCCATCTCTCTGAGATCAGGGCAGAGGGGAGCTATCCAGGGGTCTCCCTGGCCTGGCTCCAGTCCTCACCAGCTGTACCTCTGCCCTGCCCCAGCTAAGCCAATAAAGACCCTGTCTTGCCTGAGAGCTTACAAATTGGGGTCTGAACCTTACACAGAATCCTGACTAGTGTGAGGACCTGTCTTGGGCCTCTCCCAGGTGATTCAGGAAATTAATGGTTCACCTGCTCTCATCCCTTCTGTTGTCTTTGAAATCGTGGTGGCTAGTGGAGAGGTGTGAGGAGGTGCCAGACACGGTCCTGGATTTTTAAAATTTTAATGTTATGAGTGATGAATGCATTTCCTTGGTGGGTGTAGACTCAAAGCAAGGGGGTCAGTGTGCCCGCTGTTGCCACTCAAACCATCCTCCAGCCCGAACCCTACGGCTATAAGCCAGAGTGCCTCTCTTTGAAGAGTCTAACCCAGTTTAAAACCTGCCCGCTTTGTGAGAGGTGCAAACAGCTTTTTACTGGAGGACAGAGCAGGGGACAGGAATGTGAGGGCGAGGGGGGCCTGAAGGGGGTCAGAGCGCGTGCGCAGGGCAAGGGCGAGGGAGGCCCGAGAGCGGGGAGGATGGGGGAGGAGCGAGGGTCTCGGGGAACGGGAGCAAACTGGCGGGGCCCTGGGGGCTCAGGAAACTCCGGCTTCTTCCAGGCTCCGGGTTCAGGCTGCTGCTTGTGCAGCCCCTGTGTGGGGTCCGCAGCGACGTCTCTTCCAGGCATTTCTCACGAGCCCCTTTAAGCCGCCCAACAGGAGGACTTACTATTCTTATTCCCGTTTCACAGATGAGAAAACTGACACCCAGGAAGAAGTAACTTATCCAAGGTCACCCTACTGGTAATGGCAGAGCTGGAATTCGAATTCAGCGGACTTCAGGTTGCTCCAGCCCCAACCCGTTCCCGGCACCGGTGAACGAGGCCGGGACCGCGAACCACCCCGGAGGCCAGGTTCCCCCAGTCGAGGGCCCGGTGAGCGGCGGCGGCGGCCGGACCGAGAGGTGAGCCCCCCGCCCTCCTCCGCAGGGCCCCGAGGGCTCGGTGGCCTTGCCGGGAAACGGAGCAATCCCTCGCCCGGCCTCGAGGGCCAACGGAAGGTCCGGACCGCGGGCCAAAGGGGCGGACTAGCGGCCGCCGGGAGGGAAACGCCGCCCGGGAGACGCCGACGGTGCCCCGGCGGAGGGAGGGGAGACCAGCGACAGGAGGACGCGAGCCGAGGTGGCGCCACCGGTCGGTAAGGGGAGGATGTGGAACATTCCCCCCCCCCGCCCCGCCCCCAGGCCAAACATTACCCGACGACTGTAGGGACCCGCGGGGCGGGGTTTGGGGGCAGATGGCCAGGTCAGGGCGCATCTCTGAGTCTAGAAAATGTCACTGGGGCTTTGGGGCCACAGAAGGGCCGAGGAGGGTTGTCAGAGGGAAGGAACCTTTGACCAAACCTAAGTCAGTTTGCAGCCCGGGTAGCCACAATTACTGGCGGGAAGGCTGGGGAGTGAGGCTCCCTGCGGCCCAGATGGTTGCCTCCGGGTCCCTGCCCCATTCTAGCCTGGGATACACTTTGTGTTGGCCCCTCTTTCTCTGCCCAGTATAGTTCTCAGCTGCCCCCGGCTGGCGTGCGCAGGGCCTGGGCTGGTGACAGGGCTGCCCCTGGGCTGCTGCACGATGCCTCAGGGGCACTCTCCCAGAGGGAACCCAGGGCCCAGGCTGCCAGATGTCAGTCCAGGCCCCATGGGGAATGCAAGTCTTCTACTTTCCCGTGGCAAAGGCCCTTTTTAAAAATAATAATTAAAACCATCAGTGATAGTAGATGGCAGTTTGTTTTGCATGCCTTTGGCAAAGTCAAACGTCGGCAATCCTGTGTTTCCCCCATTCTCTCCCTGTCTTGCACATTTGGGAATCCCAAACTGAACTGCTGGCCAGTGGCGGCTGGTGGGGAGTGAAGGGCAGCCCTGCAGGATTCTGGTCACTGCCTCTGCTCTGACTCACCAAGAGATCATGGACCAATCAGTTCTTCTCTCTAGCTCTGGTTCTTCATCAGGACAAGGGAATCTGCGAAGCCCCCTTTATATTAACATGTCTATGGTCCTGTGAGTCTAGATTATATCAGTGTGACCCCAAAATTGTGTACCTTGGCACACAGTCGTCTAGTACTGGCACTCAGGACTGTTCTATGCTGGAGGCTGACCTATTCCTGGAGAGCAGCCTGGCGTGGGTGAGGGGGACGGACAGACAGGAGGGGATATGCCTGGCCTGTCAGTAACCCCAGGCAGGGAGAGGAAGGCACTGCATCGTGTGACAAATGTATGTGTCTCTTCTCCCCAGAAGTTACCAAGAGCCTGCAAGTTCCTGTCTTTTTTCATTCCTGATTCTCCCCATTGGCCTAAGCTGGGCATGGGGCGCCCAGTAAGTACATAGTTAAATTTTGTGAAATGAATGGAAGGTAGCTGGTGACTGGGAGGGTACATGGAGTGGAAAGGACCAAGCTGAGCTTTGCAGATGTGGGACTGATAAGGTTTAGAGGAGAAGAAAGGGCACCCCCTAGGGAAAGAACCCAGGCTGGGGATGACTGTGGTGTTCCATGAGTGGAGGGAGACATGGTGGGTGTGGGGGCAGGCGGGTGGGCGAGTGCTTGGGAAACTATGAGAGAAAAACTGAGATGATAAGGAAGGCTAATGAGATTGAGGTGCAGGAGAAACGGGGAAGCCAGAATGAGCTCCAGGCTAGCACTGGTGATGGAGAGAATGACTGAAATAGGGAAGACACTGAGGTCGGTTTTAGACAAACTGAGGTTCAGTGGGGTTGGGTGGGGAACAGGACGGGGCTCAGACCATCAGATGGAAATGTCCAGTGTCCTCCATTCCATCCAGAGTGTGGGGGTCAAGATGCAGCTGGGACTCTTATCTGGAGAGCTTTAGGCCCAGGACTCAGTGCTCTCCAGGCCAGCCAACTTCATCCTTTTATTTTATTAAAAATTTTTTAAAAAAATTGAAGTATAGTTGATTTACAATGTTGTGTTAGTTTCTGGTGTACAGCAGAGTGATTCATTACACATATATATCCCTCTTTTTCATTAGAGGTTATTACAAGGTGTTGACTGTAGTTCCCTGTGCTATGCTTGTTGTTTACCTATTCTATACCAATGTCATCCTTTTAGAGTGAAGGAAGCTGAGGCCCTGAAGTTCAGGTGACTTCGTCAGTACTGCCCTGAGGGTGGAGGGAAGATCGAAAGGGGAGCTTTGGAGAGAGGGCAGGATACATTTTTCAGGTGGGAAGAAGAGAAACTGGTGAACAAAAGAGGAGAACATGCTTTAGAAAGTTGCCAGGCACTGTTGACAGCATTCACAAAGGACAGCTGTCAGCCCTTCTATAAACAGCGTATTTCCTCTGCCATCTGCCATGAGGCTTGTTCTGCTGCGGTGATCAGCAGTTCTCAAAGCCTCAGAGACACTCCTTGCCCTCAGCTGCAGTGAGGGGGCCGTGTGGGGCCCGTGGAGAGGCCCCAGTGCCCGGCCCTGCGCGCGGAGAGGAGAGGGAAGTGCCCTCACTCCCAGGGCCTTGTCTTCCCCACTCACAGGCGCAGCTTGGAAGCTTGGTGCTGCCCAGCGGGGTCTGGTCAGGCAGGAGCCTCCAGGCCTGGCTTTGGGCATGACTCGCAAAGAAGGGCTGTTGTCTTGGAGCGCCCTCCACCTCCCGTGTCATGTCTCTCTCCCACCTCTTGACGCCCTCCTTTCTGCACCACCAGGTAGCTAGGATCATCACAGTGCCATCATGATGCCTACCCTCCCTGCAGCACCCCGGCTTCTGGCCACCCCTCCCCTTCCGTGCTTGTCCCCCTCCCCTTCTGGAAAACTCATTCCTCTGGGCAGAGGCAGAGAGGAGAGCAGACTAGTTGACTGCATTTGCTCTCAGGTTGTGAATGGCCACTCCTTTCCCTCAGGCATATTTGCATTTTAGGAGAAGTCAGCCCCCTCCCACCCACAACTTTAACCGAGCACCTGGGCCCTAAGCACTTCAGTTTGCAGGATTTCATTTGCCCCTCCCAGTGACCTCACTGGGCAGGTGTTATCTCCTCCCTTTTTTGCTTGGAAGACCTAAGCGCCTAAGAGTTTTAGGAAGTTCCCTGAGGGTACCCAGCTGGCAAGTGATAAGCTGGGATGTGGTCTCAGGATTCTGAAATCCAGCCAGCAAATTATCTCCCACATCACAAGTGCTCCTTCCAAAAAAGACATCCTTCAGGACATGTGGTGGCAAAGAAGCTATCCTTAGCTGAGGGCCTTGACCTCCAGGCCTAGAGGGTACCTAGGACTTCAGGAGGGTCTGTAAACTCTAAAACTGTTCGTGACATTTTCTGTGTGTATATGATCTTTTCTTTTTCAGCTGAGGGCTCCTCCCGGCCAGGTGGACCTTTGTCCATCATAACTGTAGGTCCTGAGACAAGAAGGACAGTCACTGAGTAAGGGCACTTCAAACCCTGGTCTTAGTATCTCCCCTGATCCTCATTCTGAAACCTCAAAAGGCAAATAGCTGACAGCTGACTTGAGAGTTTCTCCTGTGGCCAGTGGGCAGGTGTTAACATAATTGAGAAGTTAGAGCCGTCGAGCTGGGAGAGGTCTGGGATGGCCTAGTCCAAAGAGGCGGAAACTGGGGCTCAGAGAAGGGACCTCTGCACACTCAAGATCGCCCCATCAGTTAGCGGCAAAAAATGTTTTGTGCATTTTTAGGCCTGCCGAAGAGATCTGTAAGGCTGTAAGGTTAATCAGGGCAAAGAAATCAGCATTTCCTGAGCTTCACGTGCGAGCTGACATTTCCGCAGGCGTCATCATCTCCTTCACACTGAGCTGCGTGAGACGCCCTCACTGTTCCCCTGTGTAGGTGATGCTGACTTTAGAGGACAAGGACATGAAGGGATTCACCTGGGCCACAGCCCCTGCCTTGACCTCCCTGGGCTACCTGCTCATCCTGCTGGCCTCCATCTTTCCCTTCTGGGTGCGTCTTGTGAACGAGGAGTCCCAGGAAGTGTTTTTCAGTGGCCTGTTCGAGAACTGCTTCCATATCAAGTGCTGGAAGCCTCGACCCTTATCCGGTACGGGAGGGGTGGGGCGGTGGGGGTTGGGGAGAGGGAGGTAGGGCCAGCATGGGAGTTGAGGGGATGACAGGACTGGTTGGGGCAGATAGGACAGAATTTAATACGCCCATCCGGACGTTTTCTCTGAGTCTCCACTCTCTTGGGGTCAGAGGGAGGTAGGCAGCTGGGACGGGGTTAATAATAAGAGGTGGAACACTGGGGTCAGGGGCAAATGCCTCAGCAGCTAAGTTTCTCTCTAGGGTGGGAGTGGCTACGCCGAGGATGGGCTGCCTTTAGTCTCTGCAGACGGTACCCTTTTGGGTGGGCAGGGCACCTAGCCTGGGGAACAGCCTGGTTAGCAGAGCGATGGCGGCCCTGCCCAGGCTCTGTGGGTGCTGCCCTGCGTGTCCGGGTGCCCGTGCCAGCCCGCTCTCCCTCCC